CCTCCCTCAATTCATATGGGAACATTGATGGCTGTTCCCCTTGGTCAGGGAGCAAGGGGAAAGTGCACAGTTTGCTGAATTCCCCACTCTAGCTTGTAAGCACAGAGGGCATGTGAACCTGGACTTGCCTCAGCCTGGGGGATATGCACCCCTCACCCAGACTGTGCCTGCTGGAGCTGCAGAGGTTAGGGAGAAGTGCTTCTTACCTGGACCCAAGCTGCTGCAGTGAGAAAGCGTTGGCTTAGTCCTCTCTCCCTGGGGCAGCCTGCGTACTGAACCCCTCATCCCACCTCAGAGTAATGACTTAAATGAAGCATGTACATTTTCATATGGAGGGCTTGACAATTAATGTAATCTACTCATCTGTGGCGAATAGATTACAAGCCGGCACAGCCGCGCAGTCTGCGCATGAGCAGCGTGCCGAACCATGCGGCTGGCCAGCGGGGCTTGCTGTGACTTGGAGAGCCCTGTTCATATGGGAGCAGCGTGCCGAACCATGTGGCTGGCCAGCGGGGCTCGCTGTGACTTGGAGAGCCCTGTTCATATGGGTAAATCTTCTAGTATGAAATAAAAGCTATGTATGTTGGTCAAACACTGGAATAAATTGCCCAGGGAGGTTGTGGAATCCCCATCTCTGGAAATACTTAAGAGTAGGTTAGATAAATGTCTATCAGGGATGGTCTAGACAGTATTTGGTCCTGCCATGAGGGCAGGGGACTGGAATCGATGACCTCTCGAGGTCCCTTCCAGTCCTAGTATTCTATGATTCTATGTTGAAAGTACCGGTTGGCTCTTTGGGTGTGGATCACATAACATGCCACCAGGCCCACTGACAGGCAAAAGGGAGAAATTGCCACCAGAGTGCTGTACATCATGCTCCGGGCAGCTCTAAGAGCGGGTGAGGAGAGGCAGATTCTTCTGTGCTCCAGACAGTGCTGAGGGCTGTAGGGGGACCAGTGCAATGCACTTAATGCCCTGGCCCCACCTCTTCCACCAGAAGCCCCAACCCTTCCAGGAGAGCAGAGCTGGCTCTCCCCCCACCCCAACCTTGCTCAGGAGCTGTCGGCTCCCCTGCAGGCCACATAATATTTAACGTGGCACTAAAGGGGAATGTTTGGGACTAAAATACATGCCAAAAAAGAGGAGGGGTGTGTGATAAGCAAGAGTGATTGTAACATGGTGATTGAAAGGCCTGGATAAGTCCAGTATGTTTCATAATACTTTTCAAATGAATACTAAGTCCTATGTTTGATCTGTTCTACCTTTAAATAACTAACAAGCAGATTGTCCAGCAATGGATGAAAGTCTTTTTCCTTTGCCGGAGTGCGCAGAAGAGGCTGGGTGCCGATGGCTACAAGGGCCCCAGAGACTCCAAGGGCATATCTACACTAGGAAATTATTTTGAAATAACAACTCCTGAAATAACTATTTCAAAATAGCAGGTCCACACTACAGGGAAGCCTTGAAATTAGTCCAAGGTAGGCTCCCTTAATGTGGATGTGCTCCTTCAACTTAGAGTCCCAGGAAGCATTGGGGAGTAATTACTTTGCATGACTCTAGGGAGTAGTTATTTTGAAATAGCAGCAGTGGAACGTCCACACTACCGCTATTTCGTGAAAAGCAGGAGTTATTATTTTGAAATAACCAGCCCCTTATTTCAAAATAATGGGCTTGGTAGTGTGGACACTCCACTTATTATTTTGAAATAAGAGAGTTATTTCAAAATAACTCCCTAGTGTAGACCTGGGCTAAGAGTCAGAGTAGCTTAACAATCAGCTCAAGTTTACATGGAAACTGCAAGAGCTTAGGAAGCACCATACATTTGTTTCTACACAAGGGGTGTGTCTAGACTACATGGCTCCATCAACGGAGCCATGTAAACTAGTTTACCTGACATAGTCAATGAAGCGGGGATTTAAATAATCCTTGCTTCATTAAAATAAAAATGGCCATAACGCTGTGCCGACAATCAGCTGATCCGGCACAGCACGGCAGTCTAGACGCAGATCGGTCAACAAGGGAAGCCTTTGTCAACCGCTCCTGTAAAACCTCGTTTCATGAGGCATAGGGGAGCGGTCGACAAAGGCTTACCTTGTCGACCGCACCGGGTCTAGATTGCTGCTCTGTGCCAGATCAGCTGATTGTCAACACAGTGTGGCAGCCATTTTTATTTTAATGAAGCGGGGATTATTTAAATCCCCACTTCATTGACTATGTCGGGTAAACTAGTTTACATGGCTCCGTCGACGGAGCCATGTAGTCTAGACACACCCAAGAAGAACAAATCCTGGATCAACCCCCTCTCCCATCATTAAGCTGCATTAACTTTGCAAAAATGTACCATAAAGAAAATCTTATGAAATGTAATGTTATAAACAACAAATGGTTAAAAGCCTGGTCATTTTAAAGTTATAGTTAACCTCTGAAAAACCCAAATGTTTGAAAGTGTAGAAATGAGGCAAGCACCTCAAAATAACCTTAACTTTCCCCCTACTTATTCACTACACACAAACATAATACAACTTTATACCCATACACCAGTATGAAATTGGATATGGCTCATATAATTAGTATTGAAAAGTGAATGCCAGTCTGTTCAGTATTTCAGGCACCAATATATGCATCGCTATATACATTCCAGCTACACCAAAGGAGACTACCCTCTATTCCCCCTTTTCTCTTCAAGGGCCACCACTTCCGCCCCCATTGGTTGGGAATTGCAGCCAACAGTTGCAGCGGGGGCAGCGCCTGTGGCTGGGGCAGTGCAGAGAGCCACCTGGCTGTGCTTCTGTGTAGGAGCCAGAGGGGGGGATGTGCTGCTGCTTTCACTTATGTCTATTTTCTTTACTACAATGTATGAATTGTACGAGCATATTCAAATATTTAACTCCGTGGTTCTAAATGGCTAATGTGTACTTACCTGTCAGAATCTAGGTGTTTCCACATTAATTTTAACTAATAACTTTTAATTTCAAAGTAAAAAAAATATGCTTGTGTGCTCACAAACTGGACTATTTTACCTACCATTGAAATGCAACTATCACTGGAGAGAAAGATGAATAGCAGCTGGTCAGCACCTACACTACATTTCAGAGAACAAAGCCATGTGATAGCTCCAATTTTCACCACCAGCACAGAGTTAGCTTGACCAAAACTATTACAGCAGCACATTATAACGCTGTAGCTGCTAAAGAAATACATTGCAAATCAAACATTTGTTAGATCAGCTTGAAAAAAACCAACCCTTCACCCACTCCCCTCTTCATTAATCCGTGCTTCAAGTTCTCCCTCATGCCTGATTATGGGACCTTATGAAACCAAACAGTCTGCAAGTTGCTGGTGCCAGCTCTTTGCTAATTACCTCGGACAAGTCTCTTTATTTACAGTTAATTTTGCCTTTCTGAAGCTGACATGCCTTGTTATTCCAATGAGGGCTTTTGAACTCAGGGTTTTTTTTCATGCAAATTGGAAATGTCTCCCAGCTGAATTGAAGACATCACAGTGTTTTCTATGAAAGCCAGTAAAAGAGCCATATTTTCTCATTAGACAGTCTCTGAACTAACAGTGGCTTGTGAGTAAAAGTGGGAAAGGGACATGCAATGGTGATGCACCCTAAACATTTGCTATGTACCAATTCTCCAATATATGCTTAGAACTATGGTATAGATTTTAAAGCACACCTAAGACAGCAAAGGAGCTAAGATACACCATACTAGTGTATAAGGGTGCTATGGGAGCACACTCTGAAGTCGCAGATAGTACACTCTTTTAAAAAGTGTCAGCCTCCAGCCAGTAGAGGATGCTACATTATATCTTCCCATTTAATGGGACAGCACTCATATAGCCCTACAGTTATCTACATCCCATGTTCATTTAGTATCCCCCTCCTTTTTATTGTTGGAAATTAGTTACATCATAAACAAAGACTCATGAAACAGCTATGACAAAAGAGTTGTTTAGATTAAAGGATTGAATTGGTGGCATTTTAAGATTCCTTCAGGAATATTTTTTTGCCCTTCATTTAGGATCTCAGCATTGCCAACCCCAAGTGCTCACACATCCCGAGTGAGGTACCAAATATCATAATATTGGCTGAAAAGTCATGAGAGTGTTTGTTTAAAATAACTTTGAGATTTTATTTTAAAATCTGTCTGGTTCCTGTACCTTTAAGGTACACTTGATTTAAATTTTCAGGCTTTTCTCTAAAACTATAAGCTGTATATGTTTTTAAAAACCAAATCAGAAATTATCTTGTAATCACTTGCCTCCAGGAGCTGAGGCTTAAAGAAAACTACCAAATAGCACAAATCTTATTATAAAATGGTGATTTTTGGCCCATATTGGGGCCTTTCCAGGTTGAGAGGCACATGATTCTGTGGGATGTGGCGTTGATAGTCTCAGCCTATTTCCTATTCTCATCTTATTTAAAAAATGCCCCAATCAACACCAGGTAGGTGTTGTTAGTAGTAGCATCAAAGAGACCACAGACACCCAGCTACCCTTTCATCTCCACAGCTGGGCCTTCCAGATCAGGGTTGTGTGGCACATTAGTGCCTGTACTGTTGCTGCCCAGGCGATATCTGTTTTATGGACTCCAGACTGCAGGTTTGGTAATTCAGCACATTTTGCCAGCACTAAAATGACTAAAGAGATAAATATTTATTGCAAATAACAATACCAGTATGTTCCAGAGGCAAGATGTTAAACATTTAGCATTCAATATACCATCTATTAATTCAACACTTTGTTCAGTTTAGTCTGTCATTCAGGGATATCCCCAGTTTAATAAGGATATTCTGAACTAGAATCATGGGCAGTTCTTGATTTATTTTCCAAAACAGCGTTTTCCTCCTTGCAGTGCACCTCCAACAGTTTCCTGCAAAGTTTTGATTTGATAGGACAAGAACAGTGAGGGCATTAGGACCAAGAGAATTGCTCTGTTATGTCTGGCAAAGGGTTCCCTGCCTAAGTGCTGTAGTTATGTGTGAAAGAGAGTCGAGGACTGACTAGTTCTCATCTGTTGATCACAGTTAACTTGGAACGTCAAAACAAGGGAAGTTGTCAGCTCTGCTGCTTGCAAAGATAATATCCCTGCAGCCCAGGCAGCAATTGGAAACTTAGCAGTGGCAGGAAATATTCTGGAAGGAAACTATAAAAATGGATTTTACTTTTATTCTTTCTCAGAATTAAAAATGAAAATAAAAACCACCTTTTAATAAGCTTTTTGGTCAGCTAAATATATTCTTCCATAGATTCCTACTTTCTGGGATTCTGTATAGTAAAGGACCTCCTTTACCTAATTGGATCTATATTATTGCTTATAAGTAGGTATCTTTTTTATTTTTGTCTACAACTACAGGGAAAAGTATGAAACAACAGCAGTGAAATGGGGGGAGGAACTTCTCAGCAGATAGCAGTAACCAGGTTTTTGCTGCAAAGAAGCCAGAGAGCTGGGCTGTAAGAAATATCCAAGGGGTATTTAACATGCCTATCTGTATTGTTTTGCTACCAACAGTATGTTATTGAAGAAGAGATGCAGATATGGACCACGGAAGGTTTATTTTCTCTTGTTGTTGCTGGTGCTGGGTTTTCTGCTGCTGATGGTCACAATTCTGAATCCACCATCCCGGGACCTGCACAAAGAGGGGACATCTCAGCCATTAAAGGTCAGCTCCAGAGAAGGGTATCAAGTGGCATTTCCAGAAACCCAAGAAATGTTGGAGACTCAGGAGGAGAGCCAGCAGTACTATCCCATGGAGGGGTTATCCCCTTTCATCTCCCTCCGAGAAGACGAGCTGCTAGTGGCCATTGAATCACCCACAGCCAGGAGAAACCACAGCAAGGCTAGGAAAGGATACCGAATGGTAAAACAGCAGAGGAAAAGGCAGGAGGAAAAGACTGATGTCAAGCCAAGGAGGGACCAAGAGTCCCAGCTCATGTCCTTTTCCCTGCAAGATGCAGAAGAGGCTGATGGGGGTGAGCAATTGGCAATCTTTGGCCTGGAAACTCATGGCTTTAATGAAGCGCTCAGTGAGCGGATTTCTCTGCGCAGGGAGCTGCCTGAGGTACGGCATCCTTTGTAAGTAAAACATCCTAATTAATTCCTATGAGAAACCTGACCCTTCTCAGTTGTCCCCTAAAAACCTTTCCCTTGACCCCTGAGAAACCTAACCCCTTTCTATCACATTGTCCCCCTCACCTGGATCAAACAGCCAGAGGAAATATATCCTTTCCCCCAAAATCATGTCCCCTTCCCAAACTCCATGCTACAGATTGGGACCCAGAAACAGGATTCAGAAATTGGAGCTCAAACTAGTAAGACTCACCCCCTCACTCCTCTTCCCATCTCCTTAGGTAACTTAGGGTGCAGCATTGTAGTTCATTATATCATCCCCTGGGGATACTGAGAGCACAGCAAATGTCATAGCAGGAGCGATGAGAGACACTTGTCCCATTTCCTCCCTTTCTTAAAGGCTATCAGTGTGGGAATTTCTGTTTTTTAAAACTAGACCCTCAGGCTCAAGGTGAAAATACGAAGTGACTCTGGGGCTCTTGAAAACTGTATGTCTGGTAAAAACTATAGCAACTTATAGAAATTATTGGCCGGGGGTGTGGGGAGACTTCAAATAATGTGCCAGAGAGACAAGCTGGGTGAGGAATATCTTTCATCAGCCCAATGTACCAGACACTCTGGGTGTTCCAGTCCCAGCAGAGAGGGGAGAACAGGTGCACAATGCATTAGAGTGCAAGGCTATGTTATTTGTAAAACTCTTTTGTCCCGTTTATATACCGCTCCTGCCCTTTCGCTTTCCCTAGCAGAGGTAATTGCCCTGCTTCTCCCGGGCAGCCAACAAGTTCTGACTTTTAAACCTGTGAGCGCACTTCTTGATTAGCCTGCTCATTTAATGAGGTGTGGGGCGGCCTCTGCTGGCACATGAGAGAATGAGAAATTGTTGCGGGTGACTGGTCTATTTAACAGGTGCCAGGGCCAGTCAGTGGTGCTGTTTAGCCATCTACTGGTAAGTGAGAACAACTGGGCTGATTGGTCTCTGGTGCATGCGAGCCACACTGATGAAGTGTGCTAGGTATAAAGTGCGCTGTAAGGGCCTTATTTAAGAGTCTTTTGTTAAAGAATTGTGTCTACTTAGACTTATTTGTGTACTGTCATCTTCCAGCTGATGTCATCCTTTGTTCTCAGAGTGCTTCATATGTTGGCAATGGCCCAGATTCTGCTGTACCTTCTGCTGACTGCTTGGGGACCAAAGTAAACAAAACAACCTAGGCCAGTGGTCCCCAACCTTTTGAGGTTGTCGGGCGCCAGGGGGCGTGGCCGTTTGCCCACCCGGTACCAGGGGGTGGGGACACTAGCGCGCCCGGGGGCGGGCCCCCCCTTGCTGCATGCCCGGGGGTGGGCCCCCCCAGCTGCGCGCCCGGGGGCGGGGCCCCCCATAGCCGCATGCCCGGGGGCAGGGCCCCCTCCAAGGGCCACGCGCCCGGGGCCGGCGCTCCCCCCCTCCCGCCGAGTGCCGCGTGCCCGGAGCCGGCGCTCCCCCCGCAAGCGCCCGTGCGCCATGTGCCCGGGGCCAGGCCAGCCCCGAGCACCTGGCGGGCGCATTGAAATGCTAGGGTACTCCCCTGGGGAGAACAGGATCATGGGTTCATATCTCCTGGGTCAGGTCATGTGGGGAAGGGACAGGATTGGACAGCCAAAAGCCAGGCAGCCCCAAAACAGGAGGGATACTAGGTTTAGTATCTCATGGCTGTGTCTAGACAGGCCAGTTTTTCTGGAAAATCAGCCACTTTTCTGGAAAAACTTGCCAGCTGTCTATACTGACCGCTTGAAGTCAGCACTGAATTACACACATGTGAATAGTTATTGTGGGCTGGCTTGGGTGTCATTCTGGATAGAATCTTGGTCCAAAAATAATTTAGTTCCTTGGTGCCTGAATATTTTGTAGTACACTTGATGTGAACAGAATGCTTGGACATTTTGATGCATGTCCAAGGGGCTAAACAAGTGTGGATGTGTTCGGTATTTGTTGCCACTCAATAAAGCAATACAATTATTTTCTATAATATTCTGTCTTCTCAAGGGGATGGTTTTGTGTATACCCTGAAGGAGCTGATGATACCACTAACACTGGAAAGAGGATATAGAATAACAACAAAAATCTCTGGACCTCCTATGTTTCATCTTGTTTGTTCAAATTGTAAGCTCTCCTCTGTATGTCAAGGAATTCATATGACCCTCATCACCATAGTATTTGAATACCTTCCAGCCATTAATTAATTGTATTTCATCACACCCCTGAAAGGTAAAAAGTATTCCCATTTTACTCATGGAGAGCTGAGGCACAGGGTAGATTACAGGGTTATGCCCTGCTAAGAAGACGTAGTGAACAGTTAGTCTGTGCATCAATTGGTCTTGATGGGTGAGGTTCAGCCTAGCCAGGTAGGTAGTGGAGGACAGAGGGAGCATGAGGCCCCTTTCTGTACACATTACTTTAGGCAGAATAGCAGCTCAAGAACTCACTCCTCCTCCCATTATTACTCCTGCGGGAATTCTGTGCCAAAAAATGTTATGTACACAATAATTTTAAATTCTGCAAAATGTTGCATCTTTTATCAAAATAATGCAATATAATCATTCTGTTTTCAATTCTTTCAGTAATGTATTTAAACTACAATACAACGGGAGTGTAGAGCATTGGAGGAAATCCCCAATTCCCTTTCCCTAATAGTAATGTAGGTAGGTTTTCACCCTTTATTTCTAGTTATTAGGTCTGCAAATGTATGCAGTCATATGCTCAGTGTTACAGCTGAAGAACAATTGAGGACTGGGAATCAAACTCAGACTCAACATTTAAATTGGCTACTGACCATCTCCAGAAAAGGAAATAGCAAACACTTAATGGATCATATTTTGATAGGATTTTTTTTCAGTCCAAAAAGTTAGACTAGGTCTAATCATAAAATCAACATAAGTATTTATAAGGTCATACTGTCCTTTATACTACGTTGGCAACGTAGAGGAGCCTTAAAACATTTCTTCTGGGGGCTTTCACAAAGACAATTGGAACAATTCTCTAAGGAGGCAGGCTGCTTTATTCTGCTCTGCCTGATGGGACAGAGCCTGTCCCATACTTACCTCTTCAGAAACATCCCTATGCCCTTCACCTCCATGCTGAGTGTGCTGCAATAGCAAGCAAGAGAGATAGAACATCTCTCTCTTTCACATACACATGACCGCCCAGCCTCCCTTCCCCCTGGTATTTACACCACTACTGTCTGCCCTTGGCAGCCAAATCAAACTGCGTGCATGTATGTGGCTGCTCTTGTGGCTTCCCTTTGCTTCCTCATCAGAAGTCATTTTTCTGCAGGGTAGCAAAGAAATCTGAGGAGGCGTGCACATACAGTCACACAGAATTCCCCCTAGAATACATTATTGTCTGGGGTAGTGTGACTCCAGAATATGGGGGTAATGGGGAAACAAAGCAGGTAAAACCAGGGCTCTACCTTCCTCTCATCTGGCTACTTACGTGAGATGGGTTATGTATAGGCTCACCAATCAGCAAAGGAGACAGTTGCCCTGGGGCCCAGTGATTCAAAACTGAGGAAACACAACTGACTCTAATTAAACATTTTAAAACAGTAAATGTCTAAGCACAGATCTGTGGCATAAGTAGGATGTGTCAAGGTTGACAGATAAATTATGAGTTCAACTTACATGTGAAAAAGCATTTGGATTACTTTTGTAGACCTTACTCCAAGATCTTACTAGAAAAACTACATAATTTACCATAACCCATTAAGTATATTCTTTATAATCTGTAATGATACTTATATGGAATTATTTCGTGCAGAGCAACTTTTCTGTCATCTATATACCCAGCAAGATTATTGTTTGGCAATGTGACAAATAAATATCTTTTCAGCTGTAGGGGAAATCTCGCTCCCCTGGGTACAGAGCCCCCAGAAGGGTCCGAGGCTGGAAGTCAAATCAGTGAGACAGGAGAGAAACCTAGAAGGAAAAACTTTATTATGCATGCATGCAGTCTGACAGCTACCAGAGAGCAGTAGCAGCCAGCATTGAGAGACAGTTTCAGGGATCCTTTATACAGTATGCTCAGACAGTTTAGTTGTTGATTGTTTTCTTTAACATATCAAAGTCTCAGCAGAAGTACTCTGAGATGTTTCTGGTCACACCAGGGCTATGTCTAGACTGCAAGCCTCTTTCAAAAGAGGCTCTTTCGAAAGCATCTTTCGAAAGAGCTTCTTTCGAAAGAGAGCGTCTAGACTGCACGGAGAAATTTCGAAAAAGCGGCTTGCTTTTTCGAAAGAAAGCATCCAGTGAGTCTGGATGCTCTCTTTCGAAGAAGCCCTATTTACATTGAAGAACGCCTTCTTTCGAAAGAGGAACTTTCGAAAGAAGGCGTTCTTCCTCGTAAATTGAGGTTTACCGCCATCGAAAGAAAAGCCGCGTTCTTTCGAATTAATTTCGAAAGAACGCGGCTTGAGTCTGGACGCAGGGGAAGTTTTTTCGGGAAAAGGCTACTTTTCCCGAAAAAACCCCTGAGTCTGGACACAGCCCAGGAGTGCTAGAAGCAAGTTTCACAGTACACAAAGCCACATGAGAACCTGAGTGAGGAGTCTACAAGGCAAACTGTGACAAAGATAAGGGTTTATATGACAAATCGTGACAGACTAGGAGTATCCATGAACTTGAGATAGGCATTGTAAGGGTCTTGATTAGAGTTAATTTGATTTCTCTCTGATACAGCGAGAGAGGCCTGGAAAACTTTTAACCCTTACAGCAGTTTTCTTTTAGAGAGTTTTGATTTCCTGCATACTCCCCCCTTTAGACACAATTGGAGTTATTTGATTTTTTCTCCCACAGAGCTCAATAAATGTCTTCATAGGGGCCAACAGACTTGCCAGGCCTCCCACTCTCCTCCCCACCCCGCCCATTGGTGGGCCTGATTGTCAGTGGAGAAGGATTTAAGTGTCCAATTTCTATAAAAAAGTTCATTCCGTCAAGAGTAAACATGAAATTTAACAGGCTAATGATGCAATGACTGAACATCTTTAGGAAGACTTACTGTCATCTCACAGGATCAAACATATATTTGCATTTTAGATTACCTTGATTTTTACCAGGGTTCTCAGCCACTGCTACTGTGGCGGTGGCCAGAATCCCAGGCTGCTGAAGCACCGTGTAGCATGCTCTGGATAGCTTTGACAGCTGCCTTGTAAGGGGGGCAATGCTAAGGGCTGGGTGCCCCATCACCACTCCTGCCCAAAGCCCTGCCCCTTCTAGGAGCATCGAGCCTGCCCTACCTCAACTTGTCCCCTTTGTTGAGGACTGTCTGAAATGAGATGGGAAAGTCTTTTGGCAGGGACGCTACCTAATTATTGTGTGGCACCTTACACACACTTGCACACTGCAAAATAATTACAATTAATAACCTCCACCTCTATATATTTCATCTACTAACAAATCAGCATTTGGATTTATGGCATTTGTCTTAAGAACATACTCCTAAGAATGCTGTTCCTTGGAGCAGAGGGCAAACTGCTGCATTGTCCATTGCATTAAAGCAGAGCACTGGAACAACAACATGCTTTTAATTTAAAGATTACATAGCTCAAACGAAACAGAAACCAGTGCCTGCTGGTCACTGCAGCCCGCACGTGCTCTGTCCATAAAGCCCTGGACCTTAAGTGGAGTGTAGCCCCTTTGACCTCTACCTCAACACTCCACAACCTTTCACATTGCTCTATACAGCCACCATGCCTTGCCTATCCCTGGTGGATGTCTATGGCACTTTTCAAAACGGGTATGAATAGAAGTTGTGGGTCTCGGCCAACACACCCTCCACCCTCTCACTAAAATTTATTAATAGAACAAAATCATACCTCTTGTAATCCCATTTACTTCTCTGGCTGGGGAAGAAAATGGGCAGGGTGCTCTCATTTGTCAGGACCCTGAAGGTACAAATGGCCCAAACCTGCCCATATTTTTGCCACATTTGAGAATTCCTGCTTTCAGCTTGCCCAGGTACAGTTTGCATCCCCTTGGACAGTGGAGGTGAGTCAAGTCTGTCCTCTTGACTTTCTGGCAAGGGTCTATCCACAGACCACTGTTATTCTCTCTTAGAATGAAGTCAAATATTATGAACCTTGGCAAATGGAAACATACAAAATGTCTAATTTTAAATTACCCCACAAAACAACAGCTCCCACCCAGTGCTGCTGGGAATTGAATCTCCATGAGATATTTTTCTGGAGCTGAATGGAAGTCTCATTTGGCAGTGCCTTTGCCTTGTCTGAATTCATGTAGCATTGGCCACAATTCAGTATTATTCACTTCTCAGGTTAGACCTCCCGTCCCCTTATCAGTCATGATCTTTGCTTGTTTGAGATGTTCAGTCAGTAAGGGGGTTCTTCATTACAGTCCGTGCAGCTACCCCTAAGTATAGAAAAAGAGTTGCATGAGCCAACAGCCCCATTAATTTAACTGAAGTCTAATTATCTGTATTTTTGTTCCTTGCCAGTCACCATGGTAACTGAAAGGCTCAGTACCTAGGCTTCAGTCTAGCACAATAATTTTCAATCCTTTTCCAAGCAGGATCCCCAAAATAGCATCAACTTTTTTGCCATGACAACACTACTAGCTGCAAAGCATTGTGGGATTGTGGCAAAAATCCACAGACAGCTATAGCAGTACTGTTACTCCTGGTTCAGGGGCTGCATCAATTCTTTGCTTTCTCTTCCCTGTCTCTGGATACAGTTGTTAAATCAGATTCTTCTGTTTGGAAACACAACCCCCCCCCTTCAAGACACAGGATTTATCCCTTTTCTCCTGGCTTGAATGACAATGCAAAGATTTTTTTTTTAAAATGGGCTATATTGATCCAATTGCCTTTAATGAAATTACATCAGAGATCAGTTTGACCCAACAATTGGCCTTGAGTAGTTTGCAGAACAATAGAACTATATAGTTCCCATATAATCCTTATGTAATACTATGGTACTTCCAATGAGGATTCATTTCTATTAGGGTACGTCTACACAGCAGCTTTATTTTGAAAGAACTGACGTTATTTCAAAATAATAAAGTGCACATGTACACAGCAAGCCGTTATTTTGAAATAATTTCGAGATAGTGGACTTCTTACTCCCACTTCTGTAACCCTCATTTCACGGGGAGTAAGGGAAGTTGAAGGAAGAGTGTTCTTCCTTCGATTTCTTGCTGTGTAGACAGCGCCAAAAGCCAAATTAAGCTATTTCGATGTCAGCTATGCAATTGAGGTAGCTGAGATTGTGTAGCTTAATTCAACTTTTGCCCTGAAGTGTAGATGTGCCCTTAGAGATTAAATTAACTAGACAAATTAAAGCGAGTCTATATGAAAAACTGAATATTTTAGGCCAAATTTTCACACTGGGATGAGGCATACCTGGGAGGTCGACAAATGCCTTTGATGTTGACTACGGAGCGTCCAGACTACCGCGCTGAGCCGCCAAAAAGCTGATCGGCTCAGTGCGGCTGCCATTTAAATTTAAATGAAGCGGCGATTATTTAAATTTTCCTATGCCTGGTAGTCTAATCTACATGCCTCTGTCGCCAGAGGCATGTAGTCTAGACGTACCCTTAGAGTTGTGTGAGGATGTAATCATCTAATTTACATTAACTGCAGTGGTAGCTATGTGGTTTCCAGGAGTGAAGTTCTGGCCTCATTGAAGTCAATATCAAATTTTCCATTGACTTAAGTAGGATCAGGCATATGCCCCAGGTCACCCAGGGGAATGCTGCACCAGATCAAAACAGTGAGCCCTCTGGTCAGTCAGGCCAATACCAAAAACCTGAAATGTAGGAGCAATAAACCTTGAAGTAGACAATTATGGAATAACCTGCCCACTCAGGAAGCCTTACCTAACATTAATAGCTGGGTTACAACCCAAATCATAACACTTTTTGAATGTATATGCTTTTCAGAAAAAATATATATACTGGAAGATTTACCCAGCACTGCTCAGGTCCTTAACTCAAATTTTTTTTTCATTTAAATAATTGCTCTGGGGCAGGGTTCAGGATAGGGGGTTTAGTATGCAGGCTGCCCCGAGAGGAAATAGGACTACCTGAGCCTTCTCTCACCGCAGCAGCTTGGGGAACAGACAGACACACAGACAAACTATCTGAAATATATAGTAGATAGCTGTCCCTTTCTCCACTCCTGCCCCTTGCTGCCCCAGTGGAGTGATAGCTATCCCAGTCCCTCTCTCCGGCCCTTTATTGCCCCAGTGAGCATTATACAGTGCAACTATCTCTGCTACCAGAGCTCTCCCTTTCTGTTTTATGATAAACAATCACATTCTAGGACTGATCCATTGTCCAGGCACAAGCACAACCAAACCTTTGCCTAGATTTAAGGTATGATAAGAGGAAGCTGCATACCAAATTTGGTGCTCTTTGCTCTTACCAGAGCCCTTGAAGAGAGACACAGAGGGTATGTCTACACTACCCCGCTATTTCAAACTAGCGGGGTAATGTAGGCATACCGCAATTGCAAATGAAGCCCGGGATTTGAATTTCCCAGGCTTCATTTGCATAAGCCGGGCGCCGCCATTTTTAAATCCCGGCTGGTTCGAACCCCGTGCTGCGCGGCTACACGCGGCACGAACTAGGTAGATCGAACTAGGCTTCCTAGTTCGAACTACCGTTACTCCTCATACCGTTACTCCTCATTTAAAAATGGCGGCGTCCGGCTTATGCAAATGAAGCCCGGGAAATTCAAATCCCGGGCTTCATTTGCAATTGCGGTATGCCTACATTACCCCGCTAGTTTGAAATAGCGGGGTAGTGTAGACATACCCTCTGTGTCTCTCTTCAAGGGCTCTGGTAAGAGTGGACAGACTCTCTCATATACATATAGTTACATTATGTATATTAAACCTATCTAATGCAACTATAAATGTTTTTACTATCCATATAAATGTCTGATCTTTCTTTAATCATACTAAGTTTCAATAATATCATATGGCAATAAATTACACAGGCTTTATGCACTGTGTAAAGGAGTAGTTTCTTGTATCCATTTAAAAACTGTTGCTTTTCAATTTCTTTGGCTGCTCTCATGTTCTTGTATTGTGAGACTAGGAAAACAGGAGCACCTGACTGACCTCTATAATATTCATTACTTTCTATCTTTTTTTCCTTATTTGCCACCTCTTTAATTTAAACAGTCCAGTGCTTTCAATTTCTCATCCATACTTGTTACCTGCCTGGACCCTTTCTATGTCAGCTGTCTTTTTAAAAGTAGGATGACCAAACCCAAGCACAATGTTCCAGGTGAAGGCAAACCATTGTTTTCTATAATGCCATTATAGTATTTTCAGTATCCTATTCATTAGACAGCCTAACAGGTTGTTTGCTTTTCAAACAATCACTTTAAAGATTTGGAGCTGTGTGCAATGAAGTAAGGGTAGATCATGGCTTTCAGACGCAGAGAAATTGATGTGTTTATAATAAGTTTTTAAAAAAAGCATTGCAACATTCCCTATCATGCCTCTTTTTCTATACATACAGCTGTCTGCAACAGGACTATGACCCCAATCTGCCTACTGCTAGTGTCATCATCTGTTTCCATGATGAAGCCTGGTCTACTCTCTTGAGAACTGTGCACAGTGTTATGGACACAGCCCCGAAGACCGCTCTAAAGGAAATTATCCTTGTCGATGACCTCAGTCAACAAGGTATCTAGCTCCCTTTTTTCTCTCCCTAAACTCTATTTTCAAGCTCTAGAAAGGAGGTGGTAATGCTGCATGACAGATTTGGAGAGAATGGGACAAGGAGGACCCTCCAAATGTGAGCTAAATATAAAAAGATATGGTTGCCAAATTTTACTTTTCCTCTCCTAAAATTCAAGTTCATCTTAAGTTTGAAAGTGTTAATTTCCCCTCGGTCATGTCCAACAGTTTTAAGGCCTTTATTTTTAAATGAAAGCACAATATGCAAACCTTAAGCTACCCACTGGTATGGTCCCATTCTAATGATTTCCAGAGTTAGACCTTACCTGAAGCCTGGAATAGAAAACTCAAAATTGCCAAAGTAATCCCAGGTACTTGGCAAAGCTATGGCTTTAGTGAGTACCTGTAGTTACTCATTCTGATCATCACTCTGCATGTTACTGAGCATGCGCTGCAAGGTACTTACTGAGTACTTTAAACTGTCACTGAAACCAATGGGAGAGGAGCTCCCATTGCTTCTCACAGGAGTAGGTCAGCATCTTACACAATTGATCCCCATGATTTTCTTATATTATTGTGGGACTCACTGAGAGTATTTTCTCTTTAATTAATTTATTAATTGTGATTAATTTACTAGCTTTCTAACATGAACTCTAGTTCTGTTGCACATGGAGAGATGAGGACATTCCAGCTGTGTCTGTTTGCTGAGGCATTTCAGTCATTAACCATTGAAATCAGGAGTGTATCAAAAGATTAGCAATCGTACTACCTCTCTTCCTCTCTCTAATTCTCCCTCTCTCTCTCGCTAACTTCTTTTATAACATCTATTTGGGATATTTGCGGGGGAGGCTTCTGGTGATGATGAAACAGAACCAAGAAATATCCCATAATTTCAATCCAATACTCTTTTGTACTTCAAGAAGATTGTTGCTGATGTTTTGTCTCTCTGATTAGCTGATGCTTTGTCTTTCTTTAGCATTTGACAACTGCCTGATTTTTAGACTATAAATTGCATTCTACTTGGCAGGAGCTGTGGTGGAGCCTGGCTTTAGCATTGTAACTCTCTCACTATCCGGCATTTTCTCCAGCCTGCAAACCATTTTTGTGGCTCTTTGCCGCACGTTCTCCCATTTTTCAACTTCCTTTTAAAAAATGTGAACCACCAGAGCAGCACAGTTTTCTTCTATCACTCTCACCATGGCTGTTTACAAAGAGGTGAAATCTCCTGTTTCTATTCACTATTCCATTCTTCATAGAACCATTGATCACAATGGCCCTTTTTGCCACGGCATCACACTAACAGCTCATGCTCAATTGTTTTTCTGCTACAGCCCCTTGACATAGGACCTTGCATTTGGCAGTATTAAAACATATTTTATTTGAATTTGCCCAGCTCACCAGCCATGGTGCATCTGCATGATTGCCCTGTCCCAAAGCTTCAGAGGGGTAGCTGAGTTAGTCTGCAACAGGAAAAACTTAAAAAACAACAAATAGTCTAGCAGCACCTAAAAGACTAACAAAACATGTAGATGGTATCATGAGCTTTTGTGGGCACAGCCACTTCAAATGACCAGAGTGTTAGAAGTGCAGATCCCAGAATAAATAAGGGGAGGAGGAAGGGGGAGAGGAGAAGAAAAAAAGAGAAAGAAAAGGAGGGAAAAAAAGGAGGGGAGGAAGAAAAAAAAGAGACAGTGAGTAGATAAGCTTCAGAGGGGTAGCCAGTTAGTCTGTAACAGGAAAAACATAAAAAACAACAAATAGTCTTGTCACACCTTAAAGACTAAATAGTTACAAGAGGCTGATAAGAACCATTAGCACCTCCATTGATTGGGAGGTTAAGTCATAGGATGTGGAAGGTATGTCCCAGTCATTATGTCCCATTCCACCAATCTTTGTATGGACCACAAACTTTAATTACCAGTGATTTTATATTTACTTTAAGATCAGTGATGGAGGTGCATGGACCCCAAACTAATCTCTGCACTGTTGGAGACATCCACATTTCATGATGATTCCCCACTTACGAGAATACTATTTGAATCTGAGGAAGTGGGTCTGGCCCACGAAAGCTCATCATCTAATAAGCCATCTTGTTAGTCTTTAAAGTGCTACATTGTCCTGCATTTTACTATTTGAAATGTCTCCGTTAATCAATTATCAATCAATTTAATGTGCGCTTTTAAAATATTGGATCGTGCTAATTTTTTTTATGGGAATGTCACGTGATACTAACTTTTTACAAAAGTCTAAGTATATAACATCCATGCAGTTACCTTTATCAACTCCTTTCACAACGATGTCACGTGGGGAGAATAGTTTACTGCACTTCTTTCCGGGAACCTGCACACTCCTTTCAGTATGCCCATCCAGATCCACTGGCTGACTTGTGGACAGGCAAAACAATTGATCCCTTGTTCCTTACCCAATTTCTTCAGAAAGGGACACAGTATAGCCCCTATGTTCAGAACTGCCACCTAGAAAAGTCTGACATAGCTGGTTAGGAGCTGAAGGTGAGGCTCTGCTCTCCTTGACTCCCTGCATGGCTGAGAAGGACAAATGCAAAGTTAACCCAGAAATCATTTTGCTAGCTGAGGAGTACAATTTTGTACCAGAAACGGTTGTGGATTTTTCGTTTGTTTTGTTTTGTTTTATTTTGGTGATAATTTGAATCAATGCTGAAATGTGTATGATTATTATGTTTATTGCAGGGCATCTGAAGTCTGCCCTGAGCGAATACATCTCCAAGCTGGATGGTGTGAAATTGATCAGGAGCAACAAAAGGCTAGGTGTCATCCGGGGTCGTATGCTGGGAGCTGCAAGGGCAACAGGCGATGTGCTGGTCTTCATGGACTCCCACTGTGAGTGTCACACAGGCTGGTTAGAACCCCTGTTGGGCAGACTAGCCACTGACAGGTAAATATCCCTTTGGGCTTAGTGTACAAAACGATTAGATGCTTTTTAGAAGGGAACGAGTCACCACAAAGAACTATGATCTTTGTACTATTTAGCTTGTTCATAATACACGAGCTTATTCTAATTCCTGCCAAAAGGACAGCACTCATGACCTTCCAAATTTGTTTGTGCCTGTGGTTTTCATGGTCTTCTCTTCTCTTTATCCACACTGAACCTTCCAAATTTGTTTTTGCCTGGGGTTTTCGTGGTCTTCTCTTCTCTTTATCCACACTGTTATTTCACTTTTATTCCATGTGCATTAATCTGAAATGTAGAGGAGGAGGTAGATCAGGCAAGTAATAAGACACACTACCAAACCCTTTCTCCCTAGGGCTGCCTTCAGGGAATCCAGCCTGCATCTGTAGTATCTGAAATGCATTAGCATTGGTGCATATGGTGATCCCAGACAGCTAGCATCAAATGACAAGTATCCACCCGAGAAACCACTACAACAGCTGGCATTATTTGCAGCACTTGCTGGCTGTCTCCATGCTGAGGCCAAGAGTTGAATAGATACAGAGGCTGGATTATCTTCTCCTGTGAGCTGCTCCTTCAAGGTCCAGGCTGATGCCCACTGACATGGGTTAGGTGGGAAGGGCTGCACTGCTTTACCGCTGCCTAAATCCTAGTTATTTCATCAACCCTAAGTTCGCAAAGACCAAATACAGATAATGCATGGCTGTGAATTCAGCAATCACCAAGCACTACAATGAGATTATACTACTGAAGAGCTTCAAGAATCACATGCGGCAATACATATTCTTCAATAAAGAAATAATTCTGAAGCCACTGAAAAGTCAATGTTTGACCATCAAATTCTGTAACATTAATGGTACACTGAGGCTGTTTATAGTAGAAGAACTGCTGAGGGGCTGAGAGTGTATTTTGAAAAGAGAAGTATCATGTCTCCTCTAAAACACTAGCTCATTAAGTAACCATAGTGAGAAGCTGTAAACGAGGCTGTTCAGAGGCAATGAAATGGGCTGCTTTTACTGCTGACAATGACTGCCTTTAAATTCATTCATGTGAGCTGCTAGAGTTGATTGCATTGTTCAAATGCAAAATAAAAGGTGCTGCAAGTATGTGGGAGGCAATACTGTTATAGTCTGTGTCTGCCTGTTTCTAGAAAGGTCTCCCTGTGAAAGCAGATTACTTTGTCTTCTTCTGGGTTATTTGTGGCCCATACTACAGAAGTTTCATAATGCAGAGCAGTGGTCTCCAACCCTGAGGAAAATTCATAATGCAGAGCAGTGGTCTCCAACCTTTTTAAGCATGAGATCACTTTTTTAACTTAAGTGCAATCCAGGATCTACCCAAACCCAAACGCCTTTGCCCCGCCTCCTTCTCGCCCCTTCTTCAAGGCCCCTCTCCTGCTCACTCCATCCTCCCTTCCCCATCCTAACTCTCTTTTATCAGGCTGGGAGTAGGAGTCTGGGGTGCAAGAGGGATTCAGGGCTGAGGCTGGGGTTTGGAATGCGGGCTCCAGCTGGGCACCACTTACCACGTTCTCACTCTCTTTTATCAGGCTGGGGGTAGGAGTCTGGGGTGCAAGAGGGATTCAGGGCTGAGGCTGGGGTTTGGAATGCGGGCTCCAGCTGGGCACCACTTACCACAGGTGGCTTCTGGGTGGTGATGCAGCTCCCAAAAGCCCCCCTCTGCTCTGTAGAGATGGGGTACAGGGTGCAGGGAGGGGCACGGGTTCTGCACCACTCTCAAAAGCCCCCCTCTGCTCTGTGGGGATGGTGTACAGGGTGCAGGGAGGGGCACCCTGAAATCAGCACCCCCCTTTCCTCTTCTTCCCATACCTTGCACAGCAAGCAGGAGGCTCCCAGGGGTGAAGGGCACCTCCAAAGTAGAGGGCAGGGCAGCACAGGAGTGCTGAGAGGGGCAGATGAAGTGCCAGCACTCAATAGCCTCCGAGCCAAACTGTCAGGATCACCTGTCAAAAGCACCAAGATCTACCAGTAGATCCTGATCTACTGGTTGGTGACCACTGATGTAGGTGTACCCTACAGAAGGCTTTAAAGGAGAGTCACAGGGATGCAGTGCTCCATGCCACTTCACAGAGGGACTACAAGAGCAAGAGAGAATGCATGGCTCATGGCTCCAATGGCACAAATTCATGCTATATTGATTCACTAGCAAAAACTACATGTGACAAAAGAGTGAGGAAACCACCAATGCTTCTGTCACCCAGGCTACGTCTACGCTGCAGAGTTTTTGTGCAAAAACATGCAGAGTGTCCACACTATGAGCATGTTTTTGTGCAAGAAAAAGTGCAGTAGATAGTTAGAAGACAGGGCTTTTTGCACAAGAGTTATTCTTCTTTCTATGAGGAATAAGCCTTTTAGTGCATGTGTAGACAGACAACAGGGGTTTCTTGCACAATAAACCCCTATCGGAAAAAGCATAGGTGCTCTGATGGCTGTTCTGTGAATGGCCATGTGGCGGGGTCCCTCCCTCCCCGTCCTCTCCTCCCCGAGATTAAAGCAGGCCCACCCAACTCGCAGACCCTGAGGCCTGGTCTGGGGGGTTTAAAGCAGGCCCTGAGGCCTAGTCCAGTAGCCACAACAGGCCCTGAGGCCCAGTCCAGCATCTGCAACAGGCCCTGAGGCCTAGTCCATGCCCTGAGGGGTTGGGGTAGGGGGGTCCGGGCCCTCCCTCTCCACCGGACCCCAACCCAGGGCCCTAATAGTGGTGGGTGGTTCCCACCACTGGCTCAGCGGGGGGTCCTCCCCGAAACGCGCCGAGCCCACTGGGGTTTTCCCTGCCCCTTGCCCTGGGTTGCTTCCTACCCCAGCCTTGTGGCTGACAGAGGTCCCACCTGGCGATGCTGGGCTGGCGGCAACATCAGCTGGTCCCATCTCTGGGGCAGCAGTGCAGGGGATGTCCACTGCAGTGGGGCGGGTGGCCCCCCGGAGACAGCGTTGGGGGCGTGTTCGACCCGGGGATGGTAGCAGCAATAGCGGCGGTCCTTCCGGCTCTGAATCTGGTGGCAGGTCCGGCGGCGGGCGTCCAATAAACGGGCTCCCTTCCCTCCTGCTCACGCCCAATAAACGGGCTCCCTTCCCTCCTGCTCAGTGCGGGGTAGGCTAGCCCTGTCACAGGCCATCACAGCTTTCTTGCGCAAGAGAGTCGATGGCAGTATGGATGCTCTCTTGGGCAAAAGCACATGGCAGTGTGGACATGCTCTCGCGCAAGAACTTTTTGCGGAAGATCTCTTCTGCAAAAAGTTCTTGCACAAGAAGCCTGCAGTGTAGACATAGCCCCAAAGGCTCCCATAGTGGCCATGGTGCAGCATCATTGGTGCCTGGTGACCCACAGGAAAGGATTCCGACCCCTGTAGAGCAGACCAATAACCCTTGTGCAGACCCCATGTTCTGATCGTTTACTCCAGTTTTGCAGAGAGCCAGGATCTAGTCCTGAGTAAAGCTTCAGGAATTGCAGCCCATGAATAGAAGTATAGCCTTATGTGGAAAACAGTGGAATGCCACATGACCCCTTTTAAATACCATAGCAGAAGCATTCCTGTTGCAAGCAAGGGAGCATGGTCTAGTGGTTAAAACACAAGACTGTCAATCAAGAGAGCTGGGGTCCAGGCTTTGTTTTGCATTAACTTGCTAAGACAGTTGGCAAGTTTACTTTTTCCACCTGCAACAATGGTGCTACACCATCTATCTGATGGGAGGGGGTTAATTTATTGATTTTCATAAAATGCTTTGAGGTATTTGGATGGAAGTGCAAGGCATTAATATAATAAACTTGAATTAATTAAGCAGGAGAGAAACTGTGAAATAGAATCCATATTCACCTTCTTATACAATAGAACTGAAAAACAAGTAGAAAACAAGGTTTCACTGACTCATAAAACATCCACTTCTTTTCCTCCTGGAGCACTAATTAAGCTGTCACTCTCACTCACTTTAGCTGTAAAAGAAAGTGCTGTAGCACTTAATCAGCTACAGAAAGTGACTCAACTGCCCAAGTTACATACAGCACTTCTGATGCCTGAACTTTAGCAGAAGTTCCAACCAGTAGCGATCCAATGTTCTTCCTGATCTGATGAGAAAGAAAGAACAAAATAAATTATATAAATATAATACAGAGCTGGGCAATAATTTTTGCAGGGGGGCCACTCCAAGAATTTGGTACATGGCTAAGGGATGCACTCTTCCATGATATAAATGAAGAAAGCACAGGAACTAGGATGGAGATTCAGTGATATAAATGGAGAAAGCACAGGAACTAGGATGGAGATTCAGTGCAGAAGGGAGTTTGGGGTAGGGAATTGGTGTGTAGGAGGGGGTGTAGGGTCTGGGATGGAGCTTGGATAAAGCAAGGGGTTGTGACCTGGGGCAAGAGATCGGGGAGTAGGAGGGGGTGCAGGGTTTGGGCTGGGGTTTGGATTCAGGAGAGGATTCTGACCTGCAGGATCTGGGAGAGAAGGTTGTGATCTGGAGCAGGGGTGCAGAGTGGGGAGGCAGGGATTTGGGGTGCATGGTTTGGGAGGGGGTACATGGATGCAGGAGCAGGGAGTGTAGCCTGCCTGTGGTACCTGCTGGGTTGTTGGCCAGGAGCTGCCTAGATTAGCACCTCCCAGCCAGAGCCTGCCTTTGGCACCCCAGTCCCTCACTCCCCCCAACTCTCTACTCCTCCTCTTGCACCCCTGCTCCACCTAACCGGAGATGTAGAGTATTTGAGTTTGGCTCTACAATATGGCTCACCAATTATTTAAAAAATTGTTGTTAAATACAATTAAGAATTATTACAGCAACTGAAAGTTGCCTTGTTGGCTATTTGGTGTTGTTAGAAACATTGCCAGTGGGTGCAGGATAAGGTGAAATAGTTCTGTTGTTTAGAAAATTTGTGTGTAAGAGGTTTATGCTAATTTAGTATGTAGGATGTAAATATTTTCTACAAAAATCAAGAAATCTCTTTTTGTGTGGCCTGCAAATTTCAAC